CGGCAGCCTGGTTGTGTTGTTCCCGGTTTACAAACATTGCTTTTGATTTTTCTACAAGTTCCACGTAAAGATAACGTCGTTCCTTTCTAGCTTGCAGCACATGTTGATGGTATTTCAATGTTGCATCTATCTTTCGTTTTCACTCTGGGCAAGCTTAATATCCTGTTTACAGTCCTCACAGGCTTTACACACATCCTCTTTTCGGCGACGCTATTTTTATTATGAGGGACACAATTATTCCATTATATCTTTAAATGTTGATTAACCAACATCCGCTTTCCAACTTCCGTACAGCGTGTAACGTAATCACTGTGCACTGAATGTTTTGTATCAGATGACGGTAAAATATAGGGGCCTCATTCATCCCTCCCCCTTAGTGCTGCAGGCTGAGGCAATCCCTCCTCGTTTGCGTAACTCAGTATATACTTAACTGCATCTTTAATAACGTCTGGAGGAAATGCATTTGGAGCACGTCTTCCTGTATGACCGTGAACACGTGGTTGAGCACCGTGTTCTTCCATATGGTGTTTGATATTTCTCAGTTGCCTGTCTTTTACATCAAAGACCACCAGAAAGGTTTCATGGCAAACTTTTACTCCATCAAAATAATATTCATAACGGGAGCGTTTGCGATCTTCTTTACGTCTTATGTCAGAATTTATCTTTTTAAGGGTTCCCATTATTAGCATTTCCTTCTCATTTTTTGTCATTTCCCTTAGATTAAGAATATTTGCTTCAATCTGAGGAAAGGATAAGTTACTTGAAGCAGTTTTTAGTACAATTTACAGCCACTGTCATAAATGTGTTTTCAGATTGTCAATGTCACTCTGCGGATCATCACTATTTTGGTAAGTGTCAGCATTACCTTGATTGTCTGCATTAACAGGATCCAAAACAAGACTAGCTGTAAAATATCTGTCGAGTCGTGACTCAATGGATATATCTGGTGCCTTCTATAACTTCATTTTCACTTTCATTTCGGATGGCTACAGAATTACACGTGTTTGACTGATGTGACAAACAGAAACTTGACAGAAGATCATCCAGCTCCTGTAAAAAAATATAAAAAATAGATTTTTTAGATATTTAATCTCATTAAATAATATCTATAAGAAGTTATCTTTAATTAAAAAAAGTAGTAATTAAAAAAAAAAAGAGTGGCGTTAGTGAGAATCGAACCCAGGACTAACGGGTCGTCAGTCCACAACACTAACCGCTCGGCTATGCAGTCAACATTCTTTACAGACGTTAAAAAAATATCAGTATTTTGACCCTACGCAAAAAAATTACCGAGTAAAGTTCTTGCCCGCTTAATTTTAAATTTTAAAGTTTTATTCATTAAGGGACGGGGTGTGAGGTGATGGGAGCTATAAAATTATAACAGTTTTAATCTAATAAACACAATAAAATATGTTGTTACAGATCTATCTTTTTCTTTTAAGTTTAAAACCATCTTAAAAATAATTTTTTCAACGGGATGTCGGGAATGGCTCATACTTGTCGGTATGTTTGCAGATTATCTGTACGCCTACGGGATTATAACCTGTAGCCGTTGGCAATTTAGTTTAAATTAATTTAAATAACTTAAATGCTTGATGAGTGACACATGTTGAAAACTCATGAAAAATGAATGTTACTTTCTTTCATTATCCGAACGAAAACAAGTTGTATTATGGAGATTTTTATTCCTAAACACTTTATAAATGTGTCCTATATGTAAAAACAAGATTAAACTAAAACATTACCTCGAAAGTGTCCATATTTGTTGTGTTTACAATCTGTCATGTAAAAATACGGGCGCCGCCATCTTTCTACGTCATCACTAATTTTGACGTCATATTTCGCAGAATAATTAATTATACGATAACGGCTGTTTATGCTTGGCGCGGCTCATATGTAAATTTTACAAAAAGCAAACATATATTTATACCATCAATTTTGTTTCATGCATAATTTAGGATTAACAAAATATGATGATTTGAGTTTCAGGTACAATGTGTTTAAAAATATTTATTGTCCTATAAATAACTTAAAACCTGGCACACCTTTCTTTTCGAGTCTTATAACAGATGCAACTTTTTTGTGTTATGAAATGTGATATAGAAATGTTACTGGCTATATATATGGTTTTGTTATACTTTTACCATGAACTTGTATTTACAAATTCTTATTTAATATATATGTATATATCTGAATTAATGCGTTTTTGTTGGACGATGAACCATCATGACACGGTATTTTAATGTTATTGTTAAGTTTACAAGTTAGAAGCCTTTAAGTTTATAAGTATTTCAATCTGACTTAAATTCAGATCATTGCATGTGGAGTTGATTGCCACAGTTTTTCTTCCGCCTTCATTGTGATTCAGATTTTCCGAGAAAGAAAGATATTTTTAGTTATGCAATCAAACCGTCCTTTATCGATAGGCATTTGGCGAAGTATCAAAATATCGCTGTTCGTGAAAGTAAATCAAATTAGAAGAATTTTCTTTTAAAGTAATTTGAAACAATTAAGCTAGAAACAATAGACTCATTTTTTTAATGTGTAAGATTGTTTTAACAGATTACATGCTGTCTATATGGACAACGCCATGTTTGTTTTCGAAATCATGAAAATCACTTACTCAGAATTGACTTGCCAGCTGTTTAAATTAGAAACCGCTTCGCTTTCAAAATTGTGAAAGCTTGCCGATGACTGACTTTTCTGTTTGAAAGGTCACGAGAAGGTGACCTCCTATAAGTGCCTGTCAGATCCTAATGCGTAAGGTAAATAATGAGAATGTTTTAATCAGATTGATGTATTCTTGACCGGTCGGAAAACTGTATACTGTATATTGTAAATGATATTAGATTTTATAATTCCACTAACTAAAGTTTGTTAATGATTTAAAGCTTCTGTTGCAGCTGGATTAAAATCTTTAAAAATATTTTTTTTTCTGTTGGCTTTACAAAAACATTTTTATCAAATCAAATATAATACTAGCGTAGAATATCAACATACATAAGTTTGAAACAATAAAAAATCACTTCCACATCATTTCACAACATTAAACGGGTATAATAACCGCATCTTCTATACGTTAATATATTTTTTCACAGTCATAAACAGTAATCTTTTTCAGATTTTTAAAGTCACTTTGTGCAATGGAAAAGTTTAATTGCACCTATATACAATTTATTGCATATTAACGTGGTATAATTTTTTACATAAATTTATTTTATATAAAGAAAACAACTTTTTTACAAAATAAAAAGAAAAAAATAAGTTACAACTAAAAAAATTGACAGTATTACCATTTTGTTGATTAAAATGTCTATGTAACACAAAACGTGAGTTTAACAAAAAAAATATTGGTGACGTTTTCAAAATAATAAATTGATATTGAATTTAATGCATAAATTATTAGACTTTTTAGATATATAGATTTATTCATATATTCAGGCAAAAGTGTATACATACATTTAAAATAATACAATAAAACAGATGCATAAACAACAGATAAGCTATATAAAATCATATATATTTTAGTAAAAAGAATGCATACCAATACAAGGGATAATACAAAAAAAAGGAAATAATTTTCTTCCTGATATACAGTCTACTCCACTTATAACGATATCGGTTTGACCGAGCGAGGTGTAGTTATATTATTTACTAATTTGTTTGCGTTAAAGATTACTAGTATGAAAGAAACTTGAATTAACCCTTTACACTGTTAGTCCGAGGGCTGTCCGGAAAGTTCGTAGACAAGGCTATAAAATTATTATAAGCAGGCATATCAATATGATGATTGAACATTTTGCTAAAGTATTTATCTGCTACAAATTTCTAAATTAAAAAATATGATAAAAGAAATATTGGCAAAGCGCTGATCACCATGACAACATGATCAACGAATCACGGAGCACTTTGATTTCATGACGATAGCTACTCGAATAATAAATTGCTAAAAGTTGTAATTTTAGCGTAAACTCTCGTTATAATTTTGTGACTTCATTGGATACTATTACATGATGTTTAGTGAAAATTATGACGTCATACGCAAATAAACAGCTTGTTAACGACGATTATAGGCAATGAAGGTGCGTAAATTTTCTGTTGCAAAAATGACGTCAAATTCACGGACGGAGCAACGTCATAATATTACTTCATAGCAACGCTAATATGGTACCAACTGAGATTTTAATCTTTACTTTAAAAACAAAACAAACCTTAAAATGTTAAAGGCAACTTGTGTTTAAATGTCAAACAAAATAACGAAGCGGCGATGACAGTATATCGTATAAAAAGCGCTCCAGACGACCAAATGTAGCATGGCCGAAATATCATATATTGCGTTACAACAACATTTGAAAAAGACAGACATCTCAGGCACTGTACAGGAACTAGAAACATTTTTGTTTTTAAATAATAATTTTAAATATGAAATTCATAAAGTACAAGCAACATAACATGTATACACCTGACAGTTACCATGGCTGTTGAATAGCGGGTAAACATGAAGTTATTAATTTGACGCCCTTGACGTTGTCAAAGTGCTCCATGATGATGTATATATGTTGTATGTAATTACTGTTAAAATACAAACGTAAGTCACAGTTCATAATTTCAGTAATTTTTAATAAATGTGTTCGCTAGATATGTATATTTTTGCTGACAAAATTTGCATAACGTATGTGTTGTTATACAATAAAAAATGAAAAAAATAATGAACTTTCCGGACATCAAAATGTTTATTTACTTCTGCATTTCGTAAGATTTATTTATAATGCTATAGTAAAAATAGATGTTAAAATCTAATGAGGTCTATTTAAGTGCAGTTTTTTTTTTGAAATTTGACTGTACTTTCCGCCGTAAAGACCTCGGTTTTTCCAGATTCTTTTACATAAATGTAGGTCGACCGTGTTCATCCGTGTGCCTATTATACTTTTCATTGAAATTGATAACCTTTGTAACTAACTATATCTTAAATGTAGCTGTCAAGTATTTGTTTATCCTATCGTTTCAGAATAGGCAATCATGGACAACGACGTCTTGTCTATTACGAGTTTTAACAGCTCTAGAAAGGGGCTTCAAACCTTATCACCTGACCAAAGATCAAGATATTTGAACAGTACATTTCAATGTTTGGACACAAAACCGGACATATGTTTCCTTCCCGGAGACGACGAAGCTGCAAAACTCAACGCTATAAGGGGTTATGGTCAATATACTCTACAACATTGTGAAGGTACCGTTTTTTTATATGACGTCAACAGAGTACAAATGAGTCGGCCAAATGTTAGCTTGAACTCAATCGGAATGCTGCCTGGCCTCGATCTTGATAAGCTGGTGGTTCCTCGTGTAGAGGTGTATACCCTAAAACCATATCAGCGAGTTGTTAAAGAGTTTTCTATGGTCTCCTGGAAGTACGATTTGTTTCAGTCAGCCACTGTACCTGCTGAAACCCTTATGGAAAGTATTCTAATATTTTCACAAAGGCTGATTGACAGAACAGAGAAACCAATTTTCATTGGTGGAGAAATGAATATCGAATTTGATATTTTAATGAAACTAGTAAAGAAAATTTCGAAGGATAGAGAAATGACATTTTTGAAGAGTCTTAAACCGGATGCTGATGAGCAGTGCTATATTCCGTCCATGCTCAAGGGATCGACTACAGACATTCGACATAGGTTTATGATGAAGGTGTATCGATGCAAATCAAATAGTTCAAATGACAATATTCAGGCACAGGACTACAGACAAAAGTCCGACGTTATTCCAGATTGCTTTATAGCATCGAAACATCTTGAGCTTAAAGACGCATCTCTTTTGGATATCGAACAGGTAGAATATTAGCTTAATTATATATTAGCAGTTGAAGTAACCGTACTTGAAATCATATCAATACTTTTCATGCCCCACTTTCTAAACGGGAGCAAATAATGGTCAGTCCATACGTCCGTAGGTTCGTCTCATTTTCCTTTTCCGTCCAATATCTAGAGAACGCTTTGATTAACAGTGCTAAGATTTTATATAAAATTGTTGGAAATGACTAGGTTATGACCCCTTTTGATTTTGAGGTACAAATGTCATGGTCCAATGACCTTGACTACTAATTGTGTGAGCAAACAATAACTAGAGATCGCTAAAGCTTGCAACTGTGGTGTAGAGGTTGGTCATGACAAGGAGATGTGCCCTATTGATTTTGCGTCGTTTATTTTGAGGGTTTAAGGTCAGGGTAATTGTGACGCTTGAAATACGTGTCTAATCAAGATCAAGTTTCTTCAGTAATACTGTTTTCATACTTATTAGTTACTGCGCTGATATAATATATATTGTGTTTTGATATAGCACTTGACTTTTTAAATGATATATGCTTGTAAGTGTACCGTACATAATGCCACTGTGACAGTAAATGAAATGGGAGAACATGAACACGTTACTTGTATATGTATATAACATTTTCAAACACATCTACAAAATAATCACCAATTTAAATTTATCTTATGTCCAAAGTAAAGCCTTGTTCATAAAATATTTGAATTTAAATTTTGAAATGTTTATTTGCGTAAATATTTCAAATATATGTAACTTTAAATAAATGCTTTTTAGCCTTATTAAGGTTTCTTACTATTCAACTATGTTTCAGGTCACTGGACGCCAAATTTGGATACCATTATTACAAAAGCATAAGCCGACACAAACCTCGATGGAAATTCCCGTGAGACCCCCAAAACATCATGGCGGTTAGAAAGACCAATTATCATGTCATCAACGCTGTATTGACGAGCTTTTCGCAACTTTTCGAGTTGAGTTTCAATTGGTTATTCTAATCACTTGTATTTTCTGTGAAGCAGATTTTAAACATTGATATTCTGTTGAAACTTGTCGAAAATGTTCGTGTTCGCATGCGCAAACTATAAGGAATACGTGATGTTAAGGAGACGAGCATGCACAAAGAAAAGAAAGAAAAAAAGAAGAAAGATTGCCATAGTATTTTTGCCGCCTTCATTGTAATTCAGATTTCCCGAGAAGGAAAGCTATGTTAGGCTATGCATTCAAACCGTCCTTTACAGATAGGCATTTGTCGAAGTATCAAAATATCGCTGTTCGCGGAAGTAAAACAAATAAGAAAAATGTTTAATGTAATTTGAAACAAATAAACTGGACTAAATTTTTTAATGTGTAAGATTGTTTTAGCAGATTACTTGCTGGCTATCTCAAAATCGTGAAAATTACTTATACAAAATTGCAAAATTGGCTTGCCAGCAGTTAAAATGAGAAACCGCATCTCTTTTAAAATTGTGAAAGCTTGCCGATGACTGACTTTTCTGTTTGAAAGGTTACGAAAGGTGTCCTCCTTTTGGTGCCCGTCAGATCCTAAAGCGTAATGTTAATTAGGAGCAGATTTTAATCAGATTGATGTATTATTGATATTAGTGAAATGTCGGTCGGAAAACTGTCTACTGTAAACTGTAAATTATATTAGATTTTATAATTCCATTAACTAAAGTTTGTTAATGATTTAAAACTTCTGTTGCAGCTGGATTGAAATTTAAAAAAAAATTCTGTCGGCTTTACAAAAACATTTTTATCATATCAAATATAATACTAGTGTAGAATTGGATTACATTATCAATATTGATAAGATTGAAACGATTAAAAACACTTCATTTCGCAACATTAAACGAGTTTAATAACCGCATCTTCTATACGTTAATATATTTTTCTTACAGTCATAAACAGTATTCTTTTTCACATTTTTAAAGTCGCTTTGTGCAATGGAAAATTTTATTGCACCTGTATAAGATAGATTTATTGCATATAATCGTGGTATACTTTCTACATAGAACATATACTTTTTTTATAAAGAGAACAACTTTTTTACAAAATAAAAAGAAAAAAAACTCAAAAAATTTGACAGTATTACCATTTTCTTGACTACAATGCCCATGTAACATAGAACGTGAGTTAAACAAAAAAATATTGGTGACGTTTTCAAAATAATAAATCGATATTGAATTTAATGCATAAATTATTTGACTTTTTAGATATATAGATTTATTCATATATTCCGGCAAAAGTGTTTACATACATTTAAAATAATACAATAAAACAGATGCATAAACAATAGACAAGCTATATAAAATCATATATATTTTAGTAAAAAGAATGCATGCCAAACAAGGGATAATACAAACAAGAGGGCCATGATGGCCCTGAGTCGCTCACCAGAAACAACTGCTTTTCAGTGTTGGAATGTAAATATATTTTAATATTAAATTTGAGCGTAGAATATGTTTAAACAATAATTTGAAGAAATGCCATGACCTTGGGCATTTAAGCTTTAGCTTAAACGGGGCTAATCAAATTAATAAGAGCAAACATGATAAAAGACTACCTATGAATGCTAAAAAGTTTGGTGATCATCTATCAATTATTTCAGAAGGAAATTATGTTCGAAGGCTTTTTCTATTTTTAGCTTTAGTGGCCCTTAAAAGGGGCTAAACAAATTAACATAAGCAAACTTGATAAAACACTACCCAAGAATGCTACAGACAAAGTTTGGTTATCATCCATCAATTATTTCTGTAGAAGAAGATGTTTAAAGGTTTTTTCTATTTTTAGCCATAGAGACCCTTAAAAAGGGCCAATCAAAATAATATTAGCAAACTTGATACAAGACTACCTAAGAATGCTACAGACAAAAGTTTAGTGATCATTCATCAATTTGTTCTGTAGAAATAGACGTTTAAAGGTTTTTCTATTTTAAGCTTAAGCGGCCCCTAAATAGGGCCAATCAAATTCATATGAGCAAAGTTGATTAAAGACTACTCAAGAATGCTACAGAAAAAGTTAGGTGATCATCCATCCATTAGTTCTGTAGAAGAAGATGTTTAAAGGTTTTTCTATTTTTAGCCCAAGAGACCCCTAAAAGGGGCCAATCAAATTAATATGAGCATACTTGATAAACACTACCCAAGAATGCTACAGACAAAAATGGTGATCATTCATCAATTAGTTCAAATAAGTTCTGTAGAAGAAGATGTTTAAAGGTTTTTCTATTTTTAGCTCTGCTGACCCCTTAAAGGGGCCAATTAGAATGACATGAGCAAATTCAAGTGTGACTGTCACAAGGATACTACAGACCAAATTTGAAGTAAATCTGCTCAGTAGTTTCAGAGAAGAAGACGATTGTTGACGCATGACGACGGACGACGGACGCCGGAGCATCCCCCTTTGATACTAATAGCTCACCCTGAGCCTTCGGCTATGGTGAGCTAAAAAGGAAATATTTTTCTTCCCGATATACAGTCTACTCCACTTATAACGAGATCGGTTTTAACGAGCGAGATGTAGTTATATTATTTACTAATTTGTTTGCGTTAAAGATTATGAAAGAAACTTACACTGTAAGTATATGGATAAAATACAACAAGTTTTGTACTTGATACCTTTAAAAAAAGATCTTTCTAGTGAATAGATTTATGCTAAATCATCTAATAATATATATTTATGGATACACATAAAGTCATTATCATATTTACATCGATTTAAACTACAATAAAAGGTAATAAAACATAATTGGCAATGATGTTAAAGTACTGATACTTTGAATTTATATAACTTATCTTTTTATTCTCTAATACATTTTGAACTAGTTGGGAACACCTGTCTGTGACTTTAAAAATACTTAACGAAAGTACATCGATATTGTCGATTCGCTGTAACAATAACATAATTTATGTTCTTTAAAATATTGTCTATTTCATTTACAATCTATATGTATGTCATGTTGTATTAGTTACTACAAAAACATTCGATTCTTGGAAAAATGTTAATATATCGTATTACTATTATAAGAAAAATGAAACTTAATTCATTTGTAGGTATCTTTTTTTATCGGACTGCTGTGCAGAGGTAATGAACATGTACTTTGATAGAGAAAATGACGTTGTTTATACGTTGTTATTCATAGTGTTAGCCGCGCCGATGCATGTTTTATACTATCTAGTATATGTCTATAAGTTCTGCATATTTTATCATCTTAAAATTTGCTGTGTATATCAGATACTGATTTAGTAAAAAAAAATCTTAAAAAAAACCCCGAAAAATATTTATATAATTGAGGCTCTAGCGGGCTCAATTTAATTGTGATTGTCCACATATGTTTTTTCGTATACTCATTTAAATGCCTTACATTAGTAAAGAATCAACATGACGACGTCAGATACCAAAAACATTATACACACATATACATGTTTAAGATAAAAAAGACAAAATATCGCTGACAAAAACTAAGCTTTGAAAGTATGGATAATAGATTGTATATATTTCTTTAAGTAGATTAACTGAATTCTCCAAACAGTTAAGTTTATCTACACCTTTAAAATACGTTCCTACGAAAATAAAGCAAATCATGTTCCTTATTTAATGTTCTTGAATTAGATATTATCTTTCAATATTTTCATAAAAATTACACTTAACGTCATAGATTACAATATAAGGTCGGTAATTATGTTTGTTACTCTTTTGTGTGCACAAAATGAAGAAATCAATGTAAAACAACTACTATTTCATTTTGACATTGTGAGATTATCCATCCTTATACAAAGCCAAATCCAGTTATAAGGCCATTGGCAACAAGAATGAATAGGACAAGATAGTTCCCAATCTCATCTAGTACTTTTTTTACTCTCCTACTTTTCTTTATTGGCTCGAATTTTTCTTCGCTCATTTCACCATCGTCAAAAGCTTTCTTGATTTTATTGTTGAGGTTTTGACGTCTTATCATACAAACCGCGAAGATGACCTGAAAACTCATAGATATAATTATACAAATAAGTATAAAGGTTCTGTATAAGTTATTTTTATCTGATAAGACAGCTTTAAGTTGGGCAATATTGGCAATCATCAAAGAAAAATCCATTAAGTTGTGAACAGATATTTTTCTCCTTCCCCATAGATTTTCATTTTTTTTTCGGACCCAGTTATTGAATTTTTTCTTGAACCTGGCGTGTGATTGGCGATTTGTTTTGAACGATCTCGGAACAAATGATTTTCGGTTGGTAGCTTTTGCGACGACTTTGTTATGTTCGCTTCTTTTAAGGTCATAACATCAGATGAGTTACTTTCATGGCCTATTGATGATTCTTCCACGTTCGGTTTTAACTTTTGTTGTGGTAATATTGACACAGAGGAACGTGGATGCATCCTAGGATCTCTAAAAGAATTAGAGTTAACTGACGCACGCCGAGGTAATGGTTGGCTTTCTCCGTAAATGTCACCAAACATTTCTGGCTCTTTAGAATGGTCTGAAGTCTTTGAATTCAGTGAAGTGCGTTGAGACAATGGTTTGCTTTCTTGAGAAAGTGACTCCTCTTGAATTTGCCTAGCATCATTTACTTCAAAAGAAGGTTGGATTTCATTGGTATCTGATGTCGTTAAAGTACTTTCTGGCATTGGTACATCTTGTAGTGTTTTTGGGATTTATCCATTCAAATGCAGAGATTGACCTTGCCTTTTATCATGTAAATGTTTTGATTCGCCTTGGTGTTTTTTTGACTTCATCGCTGGTTGTTGTCCAGATACAGATGATGGTTTACGATCTTTTGATTGTTCCTGAAACAAAAATTAAGATATAAACTGAATCAATTTTGTGTTGTTGATATACTTATTGTGCTTATAAGTGATTATTTGATTTATCACTTACAATATATATTCACGCATCATTTAAGGATCATGTTTTCAGTGAATGATTAATTTTAATTGTAAAGTAAATGTTGCTATAGCTGCTGTTGTTGTTGTTGTTGTTCTTTTAAGTATAGTTTTCACTCATTTTGGCAACTTTATGCTATCCCGACAAGCCAAAAGGTTATCCATTAATTATAGCAATATCAAAATTTAAAATATTTTGATAACATTCGTACACACATATGATAAACGCAATTAAGGTAATCACTGTAAGGTTATTATACGTTTTTTGAGTGCAATACTGAATTATTTTTTATATGTTCACATTTATCAAAACTGTTTTACAGCTGTGTATAAAAGTCCGATAAATTCATTCTTGTTCTCGGTCATGTTTAATGATCTCTATTTCACATTTTTTGCCAATTTGACAGAACTTTGTTACTTCAATTACAATACGGATTTGATATAGTTTAGTGAGAATAGAAAAAAAATGAAAACGAGACTAGATGTGGTGCGATATGGATTTGATATAAAAAACTTAAGAAAACTTAAGGAAATGAACACGGAGCTTCAGGGGTTCGATATATATTTGTGTGGACTTTTTGGACTTTGGAAATGAAAATGATGCTAAATTAATGGAATTGGACCCAATAGTGACTTTTATATGAACGTGAAGAAAAGCTGTCAGTGGTTATATTTCATAAAGTGTAAAATAAACACATACTACCTTTTATAATATGGTTGATTTGCGTTGCCCATTAAATAGTGTTTTCACTTAAACCTCTAGATAATAGGGCAATATAACCATAACGCCAATCACACTAGAACTAAACATATAATAAAACATCGAAAATGAAAGTCATGGCTGAAGAAAGAAAAAATAAATGAAACATGACATTGAACAAAAGTATGTTTTTGAAGAATGCCCAGGTGTGCTATCGTGGATTGTGTATATTAAACCAAAGGTAATATGAAGAAAATTGACAAATATTTTAAACGTTTACAACTGAATATTTCCCAAAGATTTAAAGAAACCTTAGTTGGAAATAACTATTACCATATTAAATAAAATAATAGAACCTGTTTAAAGTATGAATATCTTTTCAAACATTACATACAAACATACACAATAATGAGAACAAGGCATAATCTA